GCCGGCTTCACTCGGTCACTGTGACATAGGCGCGGAACCCGAAGCTTGTTGTCGTGCAGAACCTGCTTGACGTGCTGAAGCTCGGCTACCAGGTGTTTGCTGTCACAGATCCCTCGTGCTCTCTGCAACAAAGATTTGCCCACGGTAGCTAACTGTGAAGGGTGATGGTGGGATTCACCGTTTAAGTATCGGTTTGTATGGGTCTTTTTTCTATACACAGTGTGACCTACGGTGTTATTAGGATTTCGAATGACTAACACATCTAGGAAAGCTAAAGAATTATTTGCCTCTAACTCCATAGTAAATTGAATTTTAGAGTTTATGGAATTAAGATGTTCTAAAAATGCAGTTACTTTGTCTGATGGTAAAATTGTGAAAGTATCGTCTACGTACCGCTTGTAGAAACTTGGAGTTACTGGTGCAGTAAGCAGGGCTTTCTCCTCAAAGTCCTCCATGAAAATATCGGCGACAATGGGAGATACCGGTGAGCCCATCGCAACACCATCTACTTGCTTGTAAAACTGTTCCTTCCACAATAGGTAGCCAGATGTAAGGCGATGTCTGAGTAATACTGCATATTCTGCTGGCATGTTGTTTTCCTCTAGTTTCCTAGTTATAATTGAGATGCAGTCTTCAACAGGTAGGCATGTAAATAGAGACTAAACATCAAAACTGATCATAGTTTCATTGTCAGTAAGACATAGGTCTTTTATCTCACTGACAAAATGGTATGAATCCTTAGTGTGTGCTCTTGTATGTCCTCTGAGTGGTGATAGTACTTTTGCTAAGTGTTGAGCCAATCTGTAAGTTGGCGAATCGATCTGACTCACTATTGGACGTAATGGAGCGTTCGGTTTGTGTATTTTTGGTAACCCATACAACTTCGGCGGTTTGGCACACGTAGGTATTATCGAATTTACGTCTAGATTCAGTTTTTCGGAGTATTTCTTTATTAGATCGCTAGTTGTTTTAAGCGTATTAGTTGTAGGGTCTGTTTTGACCTTTACGTACGTACTTTCATCCGATAAAAGTTGTTGTATTTTAAAATTGTAATCCGACGTATCCATTATAACCGTAGCATTACCTTTATCTGCGCGGAGAATCGTAAGATCTCTTTTAAGATCTTTGAAGATGGTCTGTTGCGTAAGTTTTTTTAAGAAGATGGTCTGTTGCGTAAGTTTTTCAATGCAGTAAATTCATCTTTGGGAAGATTTAATTTCGGCGCTGAGCTTCGACGTAACAAGGACGAAATGTCTTGACGTTATAAACACTATAAAATTGATATTTTGTGGTGTTAAACAAATGGGATATAATGAGAAATGAGTATGGAAATGGAAGGCTGAAGTGGCGGAGCCACCCCTATTAATCGAAATGTTGCATGGAAATTAGTTGTCATATGGTATGAACATGCGACGCTGAAGATTGAGGAATGCGTTGGGATAGTTAAATGATTAATGGATTGTGTGAACGGTGGTATGGTTAGAAAGGGGTTGCTCAACTCGATTAGATTACTGAGATAAATAAATAAATAATCTTTATTATCAAAAAAAAAAGAGATGACGGCTAGTAACTATGTATGAAAGAACACAAACTTTAAATAAATCAAGATAAAGGTCAGTCTACTGCACGTTCATGGTGACTTGAACTGGTAACCGACCATTACCACGAAAGAAAGGTGTTATCGAATCGAATTATAGCGGCTTGGAAGTTAAGAGCGAGCCCTAGTCCGTGCAGATATAGTTGTAAGAAAACTTGATGGTGTCTCAGATCACAGTACGTAAAGGACAGATACAGGACTTGCGCTCGCAACTAATTTCCCAGCCGCTATAAAGTCTATATATATATGATATAATTCACGCAACCTGGACGCATAGCGTTGGGGCTGGTTCGATGTGGTGTAGGACAAAACCACTGGGAAAAACTTAGGGGAGACTTCTGCCTAGTAGTGAGACAGCATGGGCTGGACAAAAAAATCATACGAAGCCTGATACATTGCCTATAGTGGTGGTTTCGCTAATCTCTGCAGAGGAGAAAAAAAATGTATGCGTCGACCCAGGGACGCACGGATGGAGTGCTCAATACAACTATTATTACAGGATTAACCCAATGCAATAGTGTAGTGATCTAATATTTATTTATTTAATATATACCTATGAGATGGACAATACGTCATAATTTATATAGCATCGATACTGAAAATATCGACAGAAACAACGCTATTTCTTGTGGGTGGAGTCGTCGCCATATTTGAGAAACAATTGACTTCAGATCACGTGACCACATGCCATATCCCCTATTTTTCTTATATCTATGATAGGAGGTGACAAGTGCGAGTGACAAGTGATAAGTGTGAAATGAAAAGTAACAAGTGAATAGCAGCCTGCTCTATTTTCTGACAAGTAGCTCTGCCCTGCGCTACCCTTGCTACCCCTCGCTCGCCAACCATCCCAGCTCTAGCCAACACGTCACGACATATACGTATTGGTGAATAATTTTAGTTTACGTTTTAATAATTAATTATAGTTTGCCCTATTGTTTTAAAAATAGTGAATCGGTCAGAGAACGATAACATTAAATTTGTCCAGGAATTACTGAAACTTTATTGTTTATTTAATGTTAAATCAACGAATTTTAAAAATAAAATGATGCGAGACGCTGCTATGCTATCATAAATAACAATGGTTTATGACTTCTCTGATTCCTTTACGAACTTGTAGGCGCAGTTGGTTATCCGTTTTGAGTACTAGAAATATCATGCGGTTCGGAATTCCATATAATAATGACCTTAGTGCATATACACTTGACACGAGTGTGAACACCTACTTTCTAGTTGTAACTTGTCAGTGTTTACTTGTCAATCTCACTCACACTTGTAACTTTTTAAAATATAAACCGGGATTAAGGAATTCCCGCCTCTTAAACGCAGTGATTATATTCTCTTTGGTGTAGGGATGGACAAGGGAAAAAATATATCGATATATATCAAATCAATATTTTTAAACAGTATTGATATATATATCGCGTGATAAATGTCGATATATCGTCATCATTTGCATGATGTAATGATAATGCCCAAACTTTTAATATCACTGACGGTTGGACGATGAAAAAAAAAACGACCAACACACATGAATGCTTTCTTTTGTACCTCCGTTTGGTTGTTTCATGTTTTGACTATTAATACAACATTTTATAATATATCGAAATTGATACGAATACAATACTATAAAATAAATATATCGCGATTTCACTTTCGTGTAACCTCCTCTCATTTATATTATGCTGGGGCCGCAGTAGCGAGAAACGTCAATGCCCATAAACGCAACAATTATTGCCTTAATTTTAACGTGATAAAGTGAGTGGCCACACTTGGAACGGTCAACGTCATTTCGATTTTAATGCCGTTGAACGGCGTTATAGTTGGCGTTAATGTTCTTTGAATATATTTTATTATATATAAATTGTTATTATATGAATATATTTTATCATATTATATTTTTTATATTGATTTAAATGGGTTCTATAATAATCCATTATTAGGGTTTCCTTCTTCTTTTTAATTTCTTCAATAGTTGTTTTAAAAGGTAATGATTGCATTATTCATCGCCAAGCATCATTTTGCGATGAATGATTCATAAAACTTTTGAGTCTCGGATCCCACAAACATAGCTATGTTTGCGGAATCTCAAACGTCGTAATAACTTTTTCATTATTCCACTGCATAGCCATACGTGCGATCTCGTTGCACTCATCGTACACAATGAGACAAACGTAGTGTGGCCGCTTCAACGCGTTAATTCGTGCGTTAATCTTTTTGATGTACCGCCCTTCGAGGTATCGCCCAACGGTAAACGGCATTGTTCAAGGCGTTGTAAAATTATCGCGTTAAGTGGTGGCCACACCTATTTGCAACGCCCATAACGTGATAATTAACGGCATTTCTCGTTAGTGTAGCCCGGGCATTAGAGATGAGTCGTACTAGTTAAGTTTTGTATTAGGTGCACTTAGTCCAATTCCGTACAAATACTCGATCCAAATACCTGTTCCACCTAGTCCATGAAGTACGCATAAAGTTTGGTATTGTTGGAATAGCTTACACTTTAAAGCATATATGGGCAACAACCGGCCTGCTGGCCGGATCCGGCCCGCTGTAATATATGATCCAGCTCGCGAGTCATTTTGAAAAAACCCAATTAAAGAAATATTACATTAGGTACTTATACTCACGGGAGTGACAGTGAGGCGGCAAACATCAAATTCTTTGAGGTTTGCCGCCTCACGATCAAAAGATTTATTGCTTCTCAATTATTCTAAACTAGTTTATTCCAGATTATTCCCTTATTTTGCCTATATAAGCGGGTGGATGGCCCGAACGTTAGTTCAGTTCTATTTGAGCTACCGAGGTGATAACTTGGACAAGCGATATCCTAGCGAACTGCTCGAGCCATCAACTTGCTTTGTGACTTTGTGTGCATCTTGAGTGGTTACCAACTATAGTTTGTTATTAAGTTTATTGAACGAAAGGTAACCAAAAGTGATGTCTAGTGGAAAGAAACGAAAAGTAGATACAGAGGGTCGCCAGTTTCAAGAAAAATGGACTGAAGAAATCTTTTTTATCTTGCACAATGGTAAGCCTATTTGTTTGCTGTGTAATGAATCCATTTCAGTAATGAAAGAATTCAATATAAAGAGGCATTGCTCAACTAAGCATGCTACGCTACACTCACTGACAGGACAATTAAAAACAGAAAAAATCCAGAAGCTTACCGCAAATTTGGAAAAACAGCAACAAATGTTGTAAGCAAAGAACACAACTTGATAATGTTGTGAAAGCTAGTCTTATACTTAGCTTAAAATTGGCAAAGGCATTAAAACCATTTACCGAAGGAGAATTTATCAAGGAGTGTATGTTAGGAATTCGCGGTATTTTTTGTCCTGAAAAGAAAAATTAATTTGAAAAAATTAGTTTGTCAAGACGAACTGTTGTTCGACGTATAGAAATGATGGCTAATGATATAAAAACAACATTGACTGACCGTATGGCAGGTTTTGAATCATTTTCCATAGCATTAGACGAGAGCACCGATTTGTCTGACACAGCTCAACTGGCTATATTTATTCGAGGTGTTGATAAGGAGTTCACTGTTACTGAGGAATTGCTTGCTTTACAGCCGCTAAAAGGAACCACTACAGGAGAGGATATTTTTATTGAAGTTCAAAAGGTATTCACAAGTTCTGGCTTGCCATGGTCAAAATTAATTGGAGTATGCACTGATGGTGCACCTTCTATGGTCGCCTTATGTAAAGGTTTCATCGGAATTTTGAATGAAAAAGCAACAGAATTAAATGTACAAAAATAGATAGTCCTTTGATAGTCATTGCATTTTCCACCAACAGAACTTGTGTTCTAAGTCCATTCGACTCCAGAATGTTATGAATGTGGTAGTAAAAGCAACAACTTTATTAGATCCAGAGGGCTTAACCATCGTCAGTTCAAGGCGTTTTTGGATGAAATATCAGTTGAATATAACGACGTAACATATTATTGTGAAGTCAGATGGCTGAGCACAAGAAAAATGTTGAAACGGTTTTACGAGCTTAGAAATGTGATAGCAGACTTTATGAAAATAAAAGATAAACCACTATCTGAATTCATCATCATCATCATCATCATTACAGCCCTTCACAAGTCCACTGCTGAACATAGGCCTCCCCCAAAGAATGCCACAAAGCACGGTCCTGAGCCACCTGCATCTATCGACTTCCTGCATATCTTACCAGGTCGTCACTCCATCTAGTAGGGGGACGCCCTACACTTCGCCTGCCGGTACGAGGCTGCCACTCGAGAACCTTTCTTCCCCATCGGTTGTCGGTTCTTCGAGCTATATGGCCGGCCCATTGCCACTTCAGCTTACTAATCCGTTGGGCTATGTCGGTCACTCTAGTTCTACTGCGGATATCCTCATTTCTGAGTTTATCACGCAGAGAAACTCCGAGCATAGCCCTCTCCATAGCTCGCTGAGCGACCTTGAGCTTCCTCATCCGGCCAGCAGTGAAGGAGCACGTCTCAGTTCCGTATGTCATCACTGGCAACACGCACTGGGTGTACAGTCTCGTTTTCAAGTTTTGAGGTATACCTGACGAGAAGATGTGCCGTAATTTCCCGAACTATCTGAATTAAGTAACCCAAAATGGATATGTGACTTGGCATTTGTGGTCGATCTTACAGGCTATGTGAATGATTTAAATTTGAAACTTCAGAAACAAGGACAGTTAGTAAATGATTTGTACAGCCATTTGAAAGCGTTTCAGATCAAACTACGCTAATACATCTGTGGGAGTCGCAGATGCTGTCTGGTAACAGTTACCATTTCAACACGCTCTCTGCGTATGAAAATATTGCTTATGCTCAATATGCTGAAGAACTCAAAATATAATGTACAAAATTCTCCAATACACTAACAAATGGAGTTGATCGAGATTCAAAAAAACTCACTCCAAAAATCCGGAGACAACGAAGAAGACGTAGAGTTGTGCGATTTCATTACAAAATTTTCTTTTACAAAAAATACCTTGTTACGGCCTAACTTACAGAAGCCACTAACTATCGCGGGGTATAAGGTTACCGCACAAAACGCACACGGAGCCTCTGGACCAAAGGTCGCTACCGTTTCGCGTTGCAACAGTTAGTTCTAGAATATCAGAGGCCGCACTAGCTAATATTGTCGAATGCACTTATACAGATTCTGAGTCGGACCCAATAAGTCCCGGGAAGCTCTCCAGCAGGAATGCGCGTCACAAAATCCTAGACCGTATATTTACGGGCCGCACCTAATTATTCCGAGTTCCCTAACAGAATGACAGAGTGCCAATCGTGAGCACTGCCTAAGGACGACTGACTGCCCTTGTGCGTTTTTCGCACGACCGAAAGTCAAACCGGTATGAATGCACCGCGCCGAGCACCCTCTCGCGTCAATCCTTGAAACTAGCGCTTGGCGCGAACATACCTAGAAAAGGACAATTTTCCGCACCTTAGAAAATTCGCAAGAAGAAACTCAGCCATTTGTTGGTTTTTATCCGTAAAATGAACCCAAGCGGCACTGCTTCTTTTGGCAGCCATTTTTTAAAAACAATATACACTTTAATGTCTAAATAAAAAATTAATCAAAAGTTCTTTAACCACATAACAAAACTTCGTTAAGAAAACCTATTGCTAAATAAGTCGAGTAGGTGTCAATACGGTAATTTACATGAGTCCGTACTAGACACTCGACTGCATGGTCTCCAATCTCCATTTGCATCGAGTATTTACTAGTAGGTACCTAGTGTATAAATCTGCCTAGAATTTGGTTGAAGTCCCCGGGACTAGTCCCGACTAGTCTCCAGTGTTGACAGACAAAGATAGAACCACTGCGGAATAGTGTAGTTAAAAAAGGACAGAATATATTCTTATATAACACGAGTGCGCGCCGCGTTACTTTGATATACATTGAAATACAGTTCAAATTCAAATGACTGACACATGAATGATTTAGGCAAACACGAGTGAGCGGTAAAGCAGACAATTAACTACGGCAACAAATCCTATCTCGCTTCGCCGCGCCGGTACTTGTTCGATTAGGGCGGGGCGCCGCGCCGGTACCGTAAGCCGTGAGACGCGTAGGCACAGTGAGACTAGGTGAATCTACGGATGTGACATTGAGTGAAAAAAATCGATTACTAACAAATCGATTATTTTCTTTGCGATATTAATCGTTTTAAGAAAAATCGATTTTTATTAGAAGAAATAATAGATTTTTGCGAAAAAAATTCTTTTATTCGAAAAAAATGCCTGCTTTCCTTTTATATTAATACTACTACGAGATTAGTATAGCATTAACAATTTATCAGAATAAAAATCAAATTAAATGATAAGTATAAAAAATAATCAGAACGACAGTCTTCTGGTTTTAAAACTAAACTACAAAACAATTTTTCAACCTATAACTTTTAACAATAAAAAACTAAAAATAATTACTGCTACTATATACATGTCATTTAACAATTAATTGGAACCAAGAAAGAAACGATAAGTTTAGTAACCGACAGTTTTTTTAAGGTAAGGTAGTTTGAACAAACAAAAAATCTAAATATCATTATTGCCATAAATGTTCAGTAACTTTGACAATGGATTAGAATGAAAACAAAATAAAACTATAAGCTTAAATAATCAAACCTTTTGGCCTCAAAACTAATATACAAAGTAAATCTTTTTTTAAACTTTAAGTTTAAACGAAAAAACTATAAATAATTATTGCCACTAAGGTTAATATCATTTACATTGAACTAGAATGAAAATAAAATAAAAATATAATTATAAATAATCAAACGCCAACCTTTTATTCTCAAAACTAAAATACAAGACCAATTTTTTCTTCAAACTGGTGTAAACAACAAAAGTAAAAAAAAAATAATGCCCTGAATTTTCAGTTAAAGAGTTTATAAACAATAATTTTACTAACATTCTTCTTCGTCTGTATTGTAAAATACAGTTTCGTTTTTTCTGACAATATTTCCCGCTTTCGAAAATAATCTTTCGGCTGGCGCGGAACTGGCCATCACAAAGAGGTGTTTAAGAGCCAATTCGGTTAATTTAGGGAAAGTTTTTTCAGAGCTCCATATATTGAGGGCATCTGTCATGAGATTTCATAGTGGTGTCGCGATATATAGGTCCAATTCAGTATTTTTGCCTATTGACGTGTCCGCGGCTATTATTTTTTCATTATAAAATACTTCCGTCAACCACTTTTAGGTGTTTTACGAGACATTTTTATTGTTTAATAATTTTTTTTTATAGGATAAGGGTGACAAACAAGCACACAGTCCACCTGATGGTAAGTGGTTGCTGCGGCCCATAGACATCTACATCTATCCTCTATTACAAATCAAAATGTAGATGCGTTGTCACCCGTGAGGACTAAGATGGAATGCCTCATTTCCAGTAAAAAGGGCCTTCGGCCACCTGCATTCACCAAGCGAAACGCAGAGGTAAACCTCTACTTCACGCTGGTTTTCTGTGAGGTCGTGGTACCACCCCGGTTCGAGCCGGCCCATCCGTGCGACAGCAAAAGCTGCCGCGTGGCTCTACCACTGTTAACAATTATTTACACACTCTAAAGAAAGAAAGAAAACCACAGAATACTCCTAGCGGAGAAAGAAAACTGTTGAGAACATACGAAAGGCGAAACTGTTTTACATACATAGAGATACATACAGGTGGCGCCGTCTTTTGATGACTTGTTCATGTTAGTGAACTTGAACTTAATTCGCGTTTTTTCTTTTGATCGACTTATTCATGATATTGAACTTCACGTTTTTACATCCATCGCAGAGATGACGCTGATTACAAAAATCGATTAAAACATGTAATTTGCATAATCGATTTATTAAAAATCGACTTTAATAATCGATTACAGGAAAAATAATCGATTAACATGAAAATCGATTATTTTTTCACATCCCTAGTGAATCAAGTCTTTTCTTTTAAAAGTTGGAACAGGTGCAACCTAGTCTCGTTTAATACCTAGTGCCTGGATCTGTTCTAGTATATACGTCTCATCTCTAGTTTATATTAACTTATCTATGGATGGTAACTAGTGATAAACGAATACGAACACGAATATTCGTATGCGCCGAATAGTAGACATTTACCGAATATTCGTATTCGGCGAATACTGATCACGAATATTTAAAAACTAATATTTTTGTACGCAACTCTAATTACTGGCGTACTTGAATAACGCGCATCGTTGGCGCGTAAAAAATACATGTGTTTTGGCCCTTAGCCTCAACGAAGGGGGACTCCCAAAAATATTTTTCACTGAAACTATGTACAGTCGCCTCGGAAAGACTTTTTTCAACGGCTGGGAACATCCAAACTGAAAAAAGAAATCGCCTAAAACCAGAAAATCTAAAAATTTTACGTTTTTTAAATGAAAATTTACCTATTGTAAATTTTAATTATTAGAACAATAGAAAATCATCAAATAAATTAGTTTTTTATCACCATGGCGAGATATTCGTATTCGTATTCGCCGAATAGTAGGTTTGATATTCGTATTCGTATTCGTAAAAGTAGTATTCGTTGCATCACTAATGGTAACCTGCCAAAATATTCAATAAAACGAGGGACGTTAAATTTTCTAAAAAAAAAAACAATATTATATTTATAATAGTATCGTAAATTTCTCGTGAATTAAAATGGCTAAACGACAGGCCAAGGTTTATTTAGGTTATGAAGAAGAAACTATAGGAGAGAAAAATCAAATTCTTCTGAATTATACAGTCAATAAAATTGGAGGTTTTCCCGTATGTTTCGCCAATATTGCAAACATCATACCATAGGCCTTTACAATAAAGTATCTGACACTTTCAAATTTCTTCATTTCATTTCAGAACTGGCCACCACTGGATAACATAAAATTTTCTACAAAATGTCCACTGTGTGGATTACACAGAATGATGATCGTACAATGTTATGCACCTCTTGAAAATTCCACATATCACAGAACATTATATGTGTTCGCTTGTATCAATCCAAACTGTTGGATACAATCAGAAAGGTAAGTTGCTACAATTTTAATAAAACTGTTCATCACTATTTTATTATTTTTAATTAGTGCTGTGGGCTTACTAGAAGAGAATGCCATAAGGCATTAGGTTATAAACTGTAACCCATAGTATAAAGTATCTACAATAAAAACTAAATATATACAAATAAAATTGCTATTTCAGCCACATTTAACATTTGCTTAGTACAGTGAAATTAGGAAAATTGGGACACTTTCAAACTTTAAAGCACATTTTTGATGTCTTGCAACTTAGTTGTTAGTATAAGTTTCAAAACCTTTAAAAACATATGCCAGAAATATCTTATGGCATAATGGTATAATAGTCTTGTTACATCCAGATTACTGATAGTAACCGTGTTATCAAAGGTGTTATCATAAATCTGCCTGCCAAGCATAATGTGAGGCATAAACTGAAGAGTGAGCTAAGAATGAGGCAACTCCTCTACAATGGAAGAGGCTCATGTTCAGTGTGACCGTATGTGGCAGGTCCCTGGCATTTTGGCAGGATTGGCCTCTTATTTTAGCTTCTGGCATGATCGGTTGACGTTTTATAAAACCTGTCAGTATTCAGATATTAAAAATAGATTTCATTATGGCAACTTAAAATGCTGAAAATGTCAACCCTATGTACTTCGCCAGCATGTGGAGGATTTCCCTGTACTTCTAGTGTTATGTTTGTAACACATTCAAGAAACAACTTTAAAAGTATAGGTGTAAAGTTGATAATCTTAAAACAAATAAGAGGAGGAGTAAGATCCTTTAATTTCATCGTGGATCTCAAAGCTAAAGATGATCAGATCCAAATTGGCAGCCTGGCTGCCTGCTTTATAGGAGCATGCCACTGCTAGTAAACATAAAAACAACATCCGTGAGTGTCGTGAAAAACTCGATTGGAACAAAGTTCCTTTCGTAGTGTATTATTATTGATAAACGTAGTATATTATTGATTAACAAATACAAATAAATGAATTATTAGCGTCTAAAAATGAAGCGTCAGTTAAAATAAAATTATATTTCTTTCATGGCAAAATAATAAAAAGTGCGAGGGAGATGGGATATTATTTCATCACCATTTCTCACAAGGCCGTCTACATACGTCAGAAGGGGTAGTGCCTTAAAAGATCTTACACTTTTTCTAGCCTAGTCCCCATCCGCCAAATTCGTACCGTCCGATAAAGAACTTCATTCCAAAAATATGTTTGGATTCAACATGCAAAAGAATATTCTGTCAGATAAATCTAATTAAGACAAAAACACTAAACAGATTTAGATATAAGCAAACATGTAGCGTCTATCTTGCACATTAAACAAGACATTGGTGAGCATGGCGATTGCATAGCATTCAAACCAACAAAAGATGTTTAATTTTAATTTAATAAACATATAGCATTAGACAATGGTAAATAAAGTTGGCAGTATTTAGGCATTTTTTATACGTGGTAGAGCCATGCTGCAGCTATGTTATGATTGTAGCACGAATGGGTCGGCTCAACCGGGGAAGGACCACGCTCTCACAGAATACCAGCGTAAAATAGCAGCTTAACACTGCAGTATTTCGTATGGTGAGTGTAGAGAACCGGAGACCCTTTTTACTGGAAACGAGGCATTCCATCTTAGTCCTCACGGGTGACAACGCATCTGCATTTTGATATGTAATCGAAGATAGATGTAGATGTCTATGGGCCACAGTAGCCACTTACCATCAGGTGGACTGTGTGCTCGCTTGTCACCCTTATAGTATAAAAAAAAATTCACTACAGACTTTGGCAGGATTTGGCAGGTTTTTAACCAGAGTAAGGCAGCATCTGTATTTTAAAGATGGTCACAGTGCTCATGTTTGACAGTAGACTTTTATGGATTGATAAATAAGAAGAAATTAATTTAAGATTTTTCTTAAAATATTATTCACCTGACCAATGGTGTAAATAAGATCACATTATGAATAGAACTTCCATAATTTAAATTTTGACTTAATGACAGTAAGCATTATCTTTTGTTTAACTTTGGTGTATTTTTGTGAAGGTTCACGTAACTTTGGTGGCTCTTTGGTGAGGTGAAGTTTTTTGTTACATTATGACATGTAATTGATAAGTTGCATTTTAAATAAAAGTGTTTCTAGAGTATTACATAAATATATTAAACTATGCCTTAGTGGTGTGCTCCTTAATGTTATTAAAATTTTTACCTCTCTTAAATTTTTCAACTTTTAGGCATATCTGCTGTTTTGTTTCATTTTTAATCTAATTAATATAGAATTTAACTAATAATTCTGAAAGAAACATCAACTCTCACATTTTTCTAACAAATTAACTTGCCTACCATGTAATCTGTCTAATGTTTCACCTCATTCCAAAGTGGCGCCGTCCTGGTGGCAAAAAATTTAATGCCCTTATTAGTGCTGGAAGGTTTTGGCGAAGAGCACAAATGTCCACAAACTTCTTAGGGCTTGTTTGTAGATCAGTGCTTCCTTGTTGTAAAATATTTTATGAGCCATTTGGCCATTTTATACAAAAATCTCTTACAATTAAATAGTTACAGCTCAGGTTTTAGTTAATCATTTAATGTATAGCTTGTTATATTTTCTATGTGATCTGATAGATAAATTGTTCAGTGCGGGGTTGGAACCTGTGATACTTAGCGCTGCAACTCATTACTAAGCCACGGAGCCGTCACTTGTCTGTTTCACATTTTATGCTATTTACAAACATGCGACACGCGACGGCATTATTAATGTAAGAGTGGCAAGGAGAAGTGCTGCTATTTTCAATCTCTTTCTTTTATCGACCAAGTATTAAACTAATAACCAGTATATGCTGATCTTGCATTAGTAGGCAGTTGTCACTACTGCTGGGAGGTCTACCTACACTGACGATAAGGTCATTGGCATTATACGTGAAAAAATCGAAAATTGTGAAGCTGTGGTCGCTAATCTCTAACTACGTACTTAATTATCTAGATCTACCTATAAATAATAATATCTTACCTTTCCGTATCCTTAGGAACAGTAAATAATGAAAAGTTGACATTCTTATTGTTATTTAAGCACCTGCATGCTATGCAGTACTTTTTGGCTTTTGGACAGGCCATACTTGAATAAAAACTCAACATTAAATATCAAAAGTGCCTAAATAAGAGAAAAATACTTTTTGTTAACATAAGGCGCACGTCAGTCTCATTAAATTAGCCTCTTGTAGGCGGCCGCGCGGTGTAGGTATATTTTCATGCCTAAAGTGCGGAGTAAGACATATCTGTTATTATTGCAGTTGGGCATGTATGCGAAGTCAAATACAAGAGTTAACTGTAAGCAATCAAAGCACATTGGTCATGATGCCTACCGCTAATACAAATGTTACTTGGTGTAATGGATCTGATGAGTGGGATGAAAATGACAATGGTGATTCTACAAATGGAAATGTTATGAATATAGATAATGATCTTGCTAATAGTGGTATGAGGTGAGTTTATAAATCTGCGTATATTTAAACAGCATTTTCCCAATCTAAGGGATAAGGGATGAGGCTTTCATGTCTATGAAAATCAGTGTATATCATATTCTTGAGTACTCTTTCCGTTTTGTTGATTATAAAGTAGTGTGTGTATGCCTTACATTCCATTCTAATTGCATCATCATCATCATTACAACCCTCTATAAGTGCACTGCTCATCATAGGTCTCCCGCAAAGAATCCCACAAAATAATGTCCTGAGCTACCTGCATCCTTACCAGGTTGTTACTTATTCTAGTGGGGAACCTCCCTTCACATTTTAGTTTAGTCACAGCAAGTTTTTTTATTTAACTGTACTGTACAATATACTTTTGATGTAATGTAAGACCCTGTACCACATGAGTAAAGAAACCGTACCGTACAGAGGCACAGCTTCATACAACCGCGCTGTGATAGATACATTACTACGAGTTTGAGGCGCGTGTGTGCGTGAGCACTGGCGACTCGTCACGTACAGAGAAAAACTGCTTTAAACCAGCTCAGCCAGTGCTCAAAGTTCAGGGTTGTGTAAAAAATAATAAGTGTTATATTTTGTTTTTTTAAAGAATAATTCATATCAAACGAAATATAAAAAAGTGTAAATATGGTTTACTAATACCTACGTAGATTTGAACCTTATCGAGGTTGCCGCAAGAGATACCGCTGATTTTGTAAATAAAATTAATAATTTGTTTAATTTCCTACACTCAAGTACACTGCGATCTCCTAATAAATATAAAAGAGCTTTTCGATGCGATAGTTGTTAAAGTGAGTTTTTAGAAGAAATGCTAACATTTTTCAGTAACTTAAAATCAATAAGAAGCGATAGGCAGAAAGACGTTACCAATAGCATGAATTTCATTCACGAATTCCAAGTGTTTATAAAATCTTTAATAAAACTTCATGAACAGTTAAAATTAGAAGAAATTAAATTAATTTATATTTACGAGACGTCTCAATCTAGATTGCCGCGGAAATTGCTATGGAAAAGTTAGACCCGCGGGTAATAACTGCCAGGAACCAACATGTTGACTATTAAATGAAACTAATTTTTACGGATTTTATTGCGTTTAATTTTACTTTTTAATTCCCGACGTTTCGGCTGCTTTACAGCGCACATGGTCACAGAGGCAACTGAGGTGTTTGACATCCCGATGACATAGTTAGCCCGGCTACCTTTAGTTTTTTGAATATTAATTTTTGATTAGATTTACGCAGAATGACTGGGAATGGGAAAAGATTCTTTTTTCAGCCATTACAAGGATTTTAATAAAGAAAGTGTTCAATTGGGTTTTTTTATAACACTTCCTGACAAATTTATCGTGTTTGTTAAATGCTGCTACATTATATCATACATTTGTTCCATTACAGCCTATAAAAGTCCACTGCTGCACCCTCTTACGACACCCGCGGGGTGATATGGGGTAGTGAATATTCCTTTATTTCAGCAGAAGCAAAATAATTGGTTGCATCTCTATTGCATTACTTTATTTTTGACACCCTCTATGAAATAGATGAAATCGATTGAAAAATGACTTAGAAAACATGTATCAACTATGTAATCATCAGTAAATTTAATACAGATTTCTCAGAAACAATATTATGAAATAAGACTTTTATACTTGCTAATATTGTTTATTATATTTTTTATCCAGAAATTCTGATGAAGACGATGAAAGCAATTCCTTCGATTTGGAAACTGTAGAACAAGATTTTGGAAACTTACAAGTATTTGATGCTCATAATGCCAACATGTCCCCTCAAGGTACGTAAAATTACCAGCACTTATAGTTAACATACATATCTATAAAAAGTCTTATAATATTAGTAGTCCATAAATTCATCCATAATTTTTTTTTCTCTGTCTACCTTCAAAGTGAACAGTTATGTTGGTGAATTTCTCCTACTCTAAATTTCGATTAAAAATCTATATTCACTGTGTATTTACATTCAAACTTCGCGAACATGTCTATTACGAAGTGTTATCAGTGTGTAAAAAGTGTAAATATGGAGGATGCAGTGCAATGTGATGGGTGTAAACGACACTTGTGTTTAACTTGTAGTGGACTTACTAGCAGTAAAATTAAAGTAATGGGCCTAAAAACCAAATGTACAATCCTATTCCTATGCATGCCATATCGCGAGGGGCTGTTTCAAGTACCGATTTTCATAAAAGCTGTTGATGCATTGCGGGATGAAGTACAGCAGTTGCGATTGGAATTGGCATAGAAATCTGGCCTAACTGACGCCACTTCTGCTTCAAAAACCGTCACGTCTGATGTTATAGCGGAAATACATGAGCGGGAGCGCCGAGCGTGTAATGTTTTAATCGCGGACACCAAGGTATCTGAGGCGGAAGATGTGCAAATACGCCAGAAACATGATGAAAGTGTGGTGAACAATATTATTAGTAATCTAAACGACGAAATATCCCCAAGTGATGTGCTTAAAATTATAAGGCTAGGGAAAAGAGAAACAGGCAAGACTCATTTGCTCAAAGTAGTGTTTAAGTCTCGGTGGGTAGGTGTCAAGGCACTTCAAAACAAAAAAAAGTTGAGCGAACCGTTGCAAATCTACTGTCACCAAACACCAAAACAAAGAGAGGCCCTACAGGCTCTGCTTACCGAACTGCTAGCTAGGCAAGAGAAGGGTGAAACGGACATCACAATCAAATATGTCAAGGGAGAACCCAAAATTATAAAACAAAAAAACTAATCACTAACAACCGTACGCTACACTCACATTTTTATACACTAACATCTGGTCTCTGAATACTAAGTTTGACTTACTGCTTATTGAAATACAAACAAAAAACCCTACATTTGTTTTACTTACAGAGACTTGGCTCTAAAGCATAGACAAGGGAGCCAGCATTTCGATTCCAGGTTACACACTATACAGATTAGACAGGAAAATAACTCCTGGAGGAAAATCAAGAGCAGTTGGTGGTGTAGCAGTTTATGTACGGAAATTCATTAATAATATACCAGTAGTTGTAAAAAAAATAGTGCATACATGAGTGAATTGACAGAAGCATTATATCTTGATATTCAACTAAAATCATATCACTTCTTGTTAGTGGTTATATACAGAGCGGACAATGACAAGGAATGGAATATTAAGGACAAAATACTATATGAAAACTTAAGTACTGCATTTGCACACAACACCATAGTCATAGTTGGAAATTTTAACTACAGGGACATTGTTTGGCCTCTTTCTTATAATCAGAGCTTGTATGACTCAGCTCAGCTCTTTCAAAAATTCTACTTTGACTCAGCTCTATGTCAACTTGTCACTGAGCCAACCCGCTATCAATCCGGAAATATTCCCTCACTACTGGATTTGGTAATGACAAATGAGGAAGATCTTATCTCAGGCATTACCAACTCAGCTCCAATTGGTAAAAGTGACCACTGTGTAATTGCATTCCAAATTCAATACCTCATCTCAAGCCCTTCAGTGCAAGGATTATTTAGACGTGCTTTACATAAAATAAACTATGAGACTGTTAATGCAGAGCTCAAAAACACACTATGTAATCATGACTGGAGTAAATCAGTAGATGAACAATGGATGGCCCTGAAGGATGAAGTGGAAATTGTTTTAAACCGACATGCTCCTCTCAATATGGTTGGAAAAAAGAAAAATCTAAATAAACCCTGGATAAATGCTTCCATTGTTGAGTTGACTTAGAAGTCTTTACGAAGCTAAGATTGTCGAGAGTGAAAAAATCCCTTCTATGCCCACCTACGCAGTTGCATGGCTTCTAAAGTTGACTTGTGATGAACTTGGCAATCTTGTGGTTGAAGGGTCAAAAATTGCTGAAGCCTTTGCTTGTGAATTTGAGAAAGCATACTCATTGGAACCTGACCTTAATAATATCTCCATACCTATACCAAGAGTTAAAAACTCCATAGATGACATCCATTTCACATCACAGGATGTGCTTATGGTTCTCAAGTCCCTAAATGTAAACTCTGCTACTTGGCCTGATAATGTCCCTGGAGTATTTCTCCAAAAGTCCCTGGAGTATTTCTCCAATCATGCGCAGAAACCATCACACCTGTCTTGGTCAATATTATGAATGAATCATATGCTTCAGGTGAGGTACCAAAAGACTGGAGAATGGCTATAGTAACACCTGTTTTTAAAAAGGGTGATAAATTAGATCCAGCTAACTACAGGCCAATAATAATAAAGTTACTCATACTGTAAATTCGAAGACATACAACAAATTGTAGATGGAGGTTCTACCAATACAATTTTTTTATATAATTAATACATAAAGTCCAGTAATGATAGTAAATAAAGAAATTACTGATGGTATATTAAGCAGCATCTTCACATTACCTGAGACTTCTAGCACACCCTGGCAACTCTTAAAATATATAAATTTGCCTTAAACTCCACTTACTGGTATGAGACTACCACTTTGGAACCTTTTTCTCCCAACATTTGTCGGTTCTTCGAGCTATGTGGCTGACCTATTGTCACTTTGCTAATCCGTTTTGCTATGTCGGCTATTCTTGTACTACTGCAGATATCATCATTATGTATTCTATCACACAAAGAAACTCCGAGCATATAGCCTCTACAGATCACTGCATAGTCTCTATAGCTTGCTGAGCGACCATAAGTTTTCTCATATGGCCAGCACTGAAGGACCATGATTCAGATCGATATGTTATCACTGGCACTGGCAACACACATTGGTTGTACACTCTTGTTTCGAGTTAAATGTGTCTAGAAGATGTATCGTAATCTTCCAAAATCGTTTGGGCAATGGCCTAGGCGAGCTGGATCTGTTGATTGACCTCATTTGTCTTAGGTAAACATGCTCTTCCAAAATTTCGACCGTAATGCTCCCAACAACTACCGGCATATGTCTGATATGGATGTTAGACATGGCCTTTGTCTTGTCCATGTTCATCTTAAGACCTATCTGCTAGGAGACTCGGATAGCCATTGTAGCCATACAGTACAAAAGTTTCAGCTACTTCAATATACATAGCAAACAACTTGACGCCGCTGAAAGGACTATAACACCGCCCAAATTTCAATGGAAACAAAGGCTTGTTCACATACATATGTCAGATGAAGTGTCAGATTGTACTCTTCAATCTTCTGTACAACTTGTCGAAGGGTATGTATGTGGTCTATGGTACTAAAGCCTTTTCGGAAACCGGCTTGTTTGAGACGCTGGAAGTCGTCAATTCTGCATGTGAGACAAATCTTACCTAGCATTCTCATAAACTGTCATCTTACACCATGCTCTACGGCATAGATCTGTGCAATTTGGATTTGCAGTTCTCACACAGATATTCATCATTTGTCAATCATCAGTTGAGGATTAAGTTATAGTAGGCTTGGCAAATAGATGAAGTTAGAACTTGAAAAGGTTGGTAAATTCCCTTACACTTCAAAAATATATCTTCTATTTTTCCGTCTGGTCACAAAGGACCTCTCCTGTTATAAGGAAGATGACCATCGAAAACCTTAAGATTTTCCTGGCATTTGCATCTACAAGATACCTTCGGAATGAAATGGCACCCTATTTCTTCCATTTCATGACATCTCTTATGCCGCAAATCGCATAAATCGAGAGAGGTTCTTGTCCAGGAGTGGAGCATTTAGTTGCATCTTCATGTTCGAGGCGGTTAACTCGGCATACGATTTTTCAGATATTGTTTGATTTACGATTTCTGTCAGATCACAATTCGATATATAAACAACATCTATTGGTTTCAATTATCTATGTATAAGTGAACGATTCACCATCGCCATGCTAAGAAAAACGAAAAGATGAATACAAAAGTTAACTATGTTCAATATCATATTCTTAATCTTTTAATGAAATATAGTAAAACATGTTATTACTAGAAATAAGTATGTAATCGTTTACATTTCTTCAGGTGCTGTAGGTGCAATGAGTGGTCCGGAAGCAGCGGCAGAATTAGAGGGAGGAGATGAACCCGGCTTGGTTATAGTAGAGACTCCCACTGCTCCAATTAATGATATAGATGCTTTATTGCATCAGGTATGTATATATATTCTACATATAAATCTTTTTAAGTCCACTGATTGACTTTGTAATACCAAGAATAAATTAGCTGCCAAGCGTTTTATAGAGCAGTTGCGCACTCTCAGTACACTGGGCGGACATTTTTGTTAGTGCAGAGCTAATATCCTCACACTAGTATCGCTGCTTCCCCATCACTTGTTTATGGTATACAGGTTTGGCTTTTATGGATAATATTTCCACTTTACAGAAATCAGTTGGCCTTCAGTCTCAATAGTTAGCCAGCAAAATGTACTGCGCTGAGGTGAGGGTAATATTATTGAAATTAAACATATGACATATAAGATGCATTGGTATGATATAACAAGTGAATTTTAAGTACATACTCATTTACGTAATACGGAGAATAATCAGTATTACATGATATTTATTGGTTTATTTTTATCATCTTCATTACAGCCCATTTTCTTTTCAATTCAATTCACAAGCCACTGCTGAACACTGGTTTCGTTTGTTTTAAATGAGGAAGATTTGAATTGGGTTTGGGTTACTAAAGTGGTCTCTGATGTTATGTACTTGCAGACAGCGGAGCTACCAACTGATTTAAGGAACAGACTTCTTTCTGCGCCACTGCAATTCGTCCCGAAGTATATTTACGTAGAAGAAGAATACAAAAAGCCGTGTAGTGATGATGAGCGTGTTACTGAATTACTCAATAAATATAAAAATGAAAACGGTGAGTTCATGTACAATTTACCTTTTGTTACTTTTTATACTTAAGAAAACATTAAAAACTAATGCAGTCTTATTACAAAACCTAATTTATTGATAGGTGCGGGTTTAAACTATATTAACCACAAACTATAACACCAGAATTATTCTTTTATTTTTATCAATTTATTCATAAGAAGATACCGACCGTGTGGCGGCGGTGTATGAAAATTCACTACCTCATATCGTCCCGTGGGTGTCGTAAGGAGCAACAGAGGTAAACAATCCAGGAGATGGGCAGCAGCCTTATCCTAATAATAACTGTAACCCGTTAAAAAAAAACTGTGGCTGCCAACCTGCCTGCTGATTACTGTGGCTAACTACAAAGACTCATGGCTCCTTTTGAATAATAAATACAACAATAAGAAATACCTTACTAATTGTTTATTAGGGCGTTTTATAAATCAACCTAATATTGGAACCGAGAGCTGCTGTACCATTAAGGAAATGTTAGACCTAACCAACGATACTATAAATGGTTTGAAAGTATAAGTATAAGTCAATTATGAGGGAGGCCTGTGTTCAGTAGTGGACTTTTATAGGCTGTAATGGTATTCATAAGAAGATAAGTAGCCAGAACTTAAGTACCTATATAAATACACTATCACAGCCAAATTCAAATTTCACTACCGAAATTGTATACCGTCACCTTAATCATAACCTTTTTGGCGCTGCAGACGCGAACGTATATATAAAAAAGATTAAGACGTCATATCGAAATTTTTGGATACCCTTATTAAGTGGTCCCTTAGTCCTTGAGTACCAGACGTCTTACACCTTTGACCAGAGGCGTAGCGTGGACTAATATAGACGTAAGCCAAGTCGCATCAGCGAGGCCCCTTTTCTTTTGTTCCCAAGATCTACGCAACAGATCTATCCTACCAAACATGCTGTGACACGACATACCTACGCATAACTATTAATTCCTGACAAGTCTCATATTCCGTCAATTTAATTTTTTTTTAATTTTTTAATTAGTCATCTGTGGTAAAATCTGGGGGCATCGCATTTTAAGGGAGGCTTCGCGAGGCCCCTTTAAGTGCGAGGCCGTGGCCAAGGGCTCACTTCGCCCACGCCTGGCTATGCCACTGCCTTTGAAGCTTTTAGTCGTCGGTTGGTGTCGTGGTTGATTTCGTCGGATAGTATAACCATCTCGTTCTGCCAGACGTATATCTTGCAGAACGAGATGGTTATACTATCATCTATCGAAAGCCATAATATTTCTTCGGCATTCCCGTAGTCGCCTCTTACGACATGCACAAGACGGGTGATGGATTTTCTTCAGCCGCTATCACTCGCTCTCTTATTTTTATTTATTTTTATAAAAAAGGGGTGACGAGTGAGCACACAACCCTTCAGGGTTAGCATGGGCAGGAGACAATTTTGTCCCCGGGGAAAGGAGAAAATGTTTATTCCCTCGCTTAGTTTTATCCACCATTCGAGCTTAATGGCACACCGGTGGATACAATATCCACAGTAGATAAAATGGAAAATAGACTTAGACTTAGATAGATTTTTTGTATTAATATAAAACTTAAACCCAAGTCCAATGAACTGGGATAGAATTGTCCCTTTCAAATGTCAAAAAAGCATAATTTTTTATCTTTCATTTGGCTCCATTCTATGGACGGGGCATATATGTCTACTCGTTATGTCAAACGGGGATATACTTATCCCCGCCGCCGTGCTTTTGCATAAGGACAAGATAAATTTATCTCTTGTCAGTGGATATAATCGGTGGATAAATTTCTTGTCCCCAGCTCATGCTAGCCATGCTGGTGGTAAGTGGATGCTGTGGCCACATCTACATCTTTCTTCGATTAAGAATCAAAATGCAGATCCGTTGTCACCCGTGAGGACTAAGATGGAATGCCTCGTATCCAGTAAAAAGGGTTTCCGGTTCTCTACACTCACCATACGAAACACGTCTAGTTCTCTGATCACCAATCCGCTTGCCAAGCGTAACGATTACGAAGATGTCAACAGACTGCGGGCTGTTACAGACTGACACACGGAATAACTTAAATTAAAAATTAAAAAAAAAACCTGAAACAAAAAGAACTTGAAAAAGAAGATTTTTAAGTTTTAAATTAAAAATATAATTGTACTTTTTTGTAGACATAGAAGTTGGTGCTGATAAAGCGGGAGGTGGGGGCTTGGACGAGGAAACGTATGAAGAGGCAACACCACTACACGGCGACAGATTGTTTCATGCGTTCATTACCCGCTTGCGAAATAATCCAGGACAAATACTGCGGTATTTTTACACGATTTTAACATTAATTTACAATAAGCTAATTTCCATTCACTATAATAACATTTATGTTCATTCTTTCTATTCTTTTCCTTTCTTTTTTTATATGAAAACGTTACCCCCATATTACGCTTTTCTCCTGTATGGTTGAGGCGTTTTAGATACATAATTGCATATGGATTATGGGCAACTATCCAACATAGTTTAAGCTCGACAACATTCCATATCTTTCAGAAATGTAAGGTGTGGATGCACTCACTTTGATTATATTTTTGTGTTTCTTTATGGCCTAAACTTCACACACTTAGCTGAATTACGAAAACGAGGCATTCCATCTAATACTCAGGGGTGACAACTCATTTGCATATTGATTCTTAATCTAGAATAAATGTCCAACTTAAATACCCATATTAAGCTTAGTATCAGGCGGGACCCAAATGGAAATTATAAACCGAAAGACAATTAATGGGTTCCGCTTCTAATTCTATTCTCAAACTTGTTTTGGTCGTTCCAGTGCATTACTTTTAAATTGTTTTCTTTTTTTGCAGTTGGGTTTTTGATTTTTTTAAATTATTTATTTTATTATAGAATAAGGATGACAAACGAGCACACAGTCCAGCTGATGGTAAGTGGATGCTGTGGCCCATAGACATTTAGATTTATCATCAAAATACGATTGCGTTGTCACTCCTGAGGAGTAAAATGGAATACCCCATTTCCAGTAAAACCTGTCTCCAGAAAATAGTATTAAACTTTACGATGATATTTTATGAGTGGTCACACCCCGGTTGAGCTGACCTATTCGTGCTGCAACCATCATAATAAAGTTGCAGCATAGCGTTTATGTTTGATATATGAACTGAGGAATACTTAATAAGTGAAATTTATTTATACAAAATTTTGCACAACCGACTTAAATATAAATTATTAAGAATAACTCAAAAACTTCTGGCCAGACCTTGATCAAATTTATATGGGACCTCATGTGAAGTAGCAGCTTTCATATAAAAAGTTTAGTGAAAAGAATTATCGAAATCGGTTCACCAAGAAAAAAGTTATGAGGTAACACACATAAAAAACATACAGTCGTTGTTTGTAATTAAATATTACAGGTTTATAATTAAATATTACATCTTTAAAATGCATCTTATTTTGTGCTTTATCAGAAATACACAAATATTATCTTTTCTATTTGTATTTCACTTGTCAATTTTGTTTAATTTTCAGATATTCTCGTGATGAGCCTCCGCTCCTTGGAGCCCCGCTGCCAGTTAGAGTGGGATCGCCCCAATCTCCGTGTTTGCCAAATGTTTGTGCCCGTTGTGGAGCCAGACTTATCTGTGAACTTCAGCTGGTACCCGCTTTAGCCAACACTTTAAAAATATTGCCGAATAACATTTCATTAGCACATCTACATTTCCTATCTGTACTCATTTTTACATGCTCTCTTAGTTGCTGGCAGCCCAATGATACACTTGTCAACGAAACAGTTGTTTTCCAACCAGAAGTAGTTTAAGCAATTTTGTCTTTGCGTCTCATATTCTCTATTTATTTAAATGCTATGAATGAGCCATGTATTTCATATTGGGCCATATTCACGTTACGTCCGAATATGTAAGTTTTTGTCGTCCATTGTTAGTGTGTACTCACATAGGAATTACCTGTTTGTTAAACTATTTAATTTATGAAAACTTTATAAGTTGGTACTTTTTATTAAAAAGTTATTATTGTTTCTTACTGTTTTTTAACTGTGATGATGAACCAATATTTAGGTTTAATATAATACTTGTGTCTAGTCAAACTATTAATGCATTTCCCATTTTATATTAAATTGTTGTAGTTTTTAAGTATAATTAATTTAATACTTAGTTACAATTAAAATAATATAAGTACGTAATCATTAAGTACTAGTAGTGATGAATTTAAACCATAACATTCCGTAATTTAATTAGACCTCTATGCTCCGGAAAAATCAATATTGTGCTTTATTATTCTCAAAAGAAATATATTAAGGTAAAAGCGCCAGGGTGGCCCGCAAAGTCCAATTTTTCTTACGTTTTTTGGAATTTGCAGGTCAGCGTCAGGTTGTATGTTTAAAAAAAACAATTGAATTTCGCGGGCTATCCTGGCGCTTTCACCTTAAAGTTATGGAGTGTAGAGAGAAGGAGGACCATCTCTATATATGAAAAGTGTTCCTAAAAACGTGTCCGATAAGGGTGGCGCTGCAGTAGCATAGGATAAGTTTAAAAAAAAGCGCCAAAAGTAATTAGAATAAGATGGAGAAATAAACAAGGACCGACCAATCCGCTTGGTTTTGTACTACGCAAATAGTTGAGATTTTGTATACTGGCATTTTACTAACTACTCTAATGATGAAATTATTTAAATATTTGAATTCAGCTGACTTCACTCCGTTCACAACAGCTATCTTCATATCGTAGTTTTTCAGACGCCAGCGCTATTGTGGTAGGTTTTGGAACCTCTATTTTCAATAAATAGTAGGACACTTTTTCAACTTTCGCCCCTTATAAGATAGTTCTCCTTGTACTCTCACACTCCATACTTAAAGTGAAAATAAAGGTTTCTTTTTAGTTTTTTTTTAAATATACACATCACATTTTTGCATTTATATAATTATGTTAATTTTTCATTATGCAAATAGAGCATTTATATAAATTGCAATATTAACAACAATTTAAACATTTTATTTCGTATCATTTATCTTAAGATTTATTATACCTACAATTATTCAAGAATAGAATAGAATAATTCTTATTCTATATAGATTACAAGAATACTTACTGAGTCATTTAAGTTTTACCACTGGTTCAGAAAAAACTTATGTCCTGGGAAGAACCATCAATATTCAATAAACCCTATGGGACTTTTTTTAAACATTAATTTACAATATTATTATTTTATACAATTAGGTATGAAAACATTTAGAAACAGCATGGTAGCGATCACCTCATTCCTAGAGGTTATTATTAAACATGTAAGTACTCATCTGTAGTAATAACTCTAATTAAACAATTTTTGCTTAAAAATTTTTAACTTTTTGATTGATAGCTCCTGCATATTTTCTAGGACTTCGTTGTAAAAGCGTATACACTGCCCCATAAAGGCATTACTGACTCTTTGGAGTCGGGTAACTGGTATAACTAGCTTGTGTTTGTTCCTGATGTATTTACAGACTCTTGACTCCATGGCAAATTGATGTATGTCCCACATTACTATTATACAGTTAAAACATTTAAATATAGTTTTCAATAGATATATAACAACAAGAAACATTAACATTTATCGTTTCCCAAAAAACAACTTAGTGAAATACCTAGTAAAACGAGGTCAATACTCTGTAAGTCTTTTTCATTTATTAAACTAATAACCTCAGTTTTCTTTTACATGGGAAAATGTCTACGTTTACCTACCCACCTCGCACGCTCGATGGGACCCATACCAACTAACACGCTATGGTGAAACCTTCGCTGCATATTGGCCCACGGGAACCTGCGCAGCTAGCTTCCCCGAGTACCCGGAAGCCAGAAAAGTCAAGTAGCATCTTACCAGTACGAGATAGTACTATCTTACATAGTAATATCACGAGAACTGCGTGAAAAAGCCTCAAAGCGCCCATGCCCGGAAAGTACCTTCACCAGCCGGAAGGTCAGTCCGTGCTGCCTGTTCATCCAACCTGGCAGGACCGAACGTACAGTCTCGACAATCCGGCTTCCTGCTTTCGGGTGGGCTAGACGCTCTTTCCAAGCATAACCTAATCCGCAGCACTCACAATTTCTGCAGGACACTCACCTGGCTGTGCAACGGCAGCGACTACTTCCTCTGCGCCGACAGTCATCCAGGGTGGAATTGCGCATTTCGTTGCTCTGGATACTTTAGCCATATCCTCAGGCAATTACTCCTTTAATATTTTAGCCAGAGAGTCTGCTTTATCACCATTCGTTGCTCCTGGTACTTCCAAAATACAAGCTCCAGTGGCCGGCTGTCGGTATCGCAGAGATTCGATACCAAGGCAAGGAAGGTCAATCGTCTTTCTAGCCTCTGTCAGCACCTTTGCGTATGTGAGATCACGATCTTCAGCACCGGGTGGGCCATATTTATATAGTTCTCTCCTCGTGTCTTTTTCCTTTTTTGTTACCCTTTTGTATTTCCGACGAGAGCGTTGCCTTATTGCCCGTTATTTCTTTTACGGCATTTTTGTGCGCATTCGTTTTCAAAGAACCTGACTTGGATCGTAGTATATCTGCTTCATTTATTAAGCTCTGCGCTCGTCAGCAGCTAGCGGAGGGCGGACACACCTTTTTGGGAGAAGCGGCTCTTCAAGCACCTCCAATCGCACATTCATCATGTTCCCAATCTGGCGCATAATGGAACTTGTCAACTCTCCATTTTCCCTTTGTGCTCGACCACGAGGAGATCGCTGGGCAGGAGTCTTGTTGACTTTCTCTACTTAAAGCCGGAATCCAGCTGGCTCTTTACGCAGTTCTTCTATTTCACTGCACAGGCAATTGCAAACTGCCCTTAGTCTGCAATTTCGCATCATCATTACAGCCCATCACAAGTCCACTGCTGAACATAGGCCTCCCTCAAGGAATGCCACAAAGCACGATACTGAGCCACCTGCATCCATCGACTTCCTACATGTCTTACCAGATCGTGACTCCGTCTAGTGGGGGGACACCCTACACTTCGCCTGCCGGTACGAGGCCGCCACTCGAGAACCTTTTTTCTCCATCGGTTGTCGGTTCTTCGAGCTATCAATTGAGATTTCATTTATTCAACACAACAAATAAGCTTACAATACTAGACCAAATCCCTTATGTGTTATACTTAACTATTACCTTTTATGAGATCTCTTATTTAACCTATTCAAATAATACATTTTATATGATATTACATTTTATGAGATCAATTATTTAACCTATACAGATAATACATTTTATATGATACATATTACTATTTTACATGATATTACATTTTATGAGATCAGTTATTTAACCTATTCAAATAAGAATACACATACTTCATAATGAGGGCTAATAATCTTCCACTCACCAGATGTCGCTTGTTGTGACTGAGGTAAAGTTTTTCGTTACATAGTGTCAGTTAATTAAGAAATTAGTTTTAAATAATAGTTTATCATTATCTAGAGTATTATATTAATATACAACAAAATGCGTCAGTGGTTTGATTTTTAATTTTTTGCTATTTATAACTCTTTTTTTAATTTATCTACTTCAAGTTATATTTATAGTTTAGTTTATTCATTTCTAATGTAATTAATAAAAAATATAATTAACAATACGGAAAGAAACCTTAAATATTACATTTTCCTACGAAATTATCGTGCCCGCTCAAATATTTTACCTCACTGTAAAGTGGCGCCGCCCTGGTAGCTGAAAAGTTTGTGGATTCATTTTGGATCATTACATCGACTTTGTCAAAAACTATATGGGCATCAGGGTTGCTTTGTAAAAATCTATTTATTAAAGAGCAATGGCAGAAAAATAGTTGACAAAAATTATAGCGTCTAGAAATAAGTTATATATAAAATGAGTTTTATTATTTTTCTATGATTTTTCAAATAAAAATGTATTTTAATTAAAGCCACAGAAAAAAACAAACATTTTTGGGAATATCAAATGACTGAAATCATTTGACTCTATTCAGATGTTGCCATTTAGTATATTCCTACTATTTTCGTATACACTTTGTAACACTACCAACACAACACACAAATTATTTTTATATTAAGTTATTATTAGTAATAACTGTACTATCAGTAATAACAAAAATAAAAGTAATATGGCTGAGAATAAGTCTCTTACAAAGAATTTCCTACAATAATACATTATCTCAATCATAGTACTATGTAACAATTCAACACTAGCTAAAATAAAATGTCACTGTTTTTTTTACTGGCTTTACGGCTCTGGGTTCTAGCTCTTCTGATAATGTCACTATGGTACAAAAGCCCTGCAGCCATGCCAGAAATATACATTTATAGTATGCAAATATATAATAGAGATACAATAATCTAAAAACTCTCAATTATGTATTAAGCTAACATCAAACAACCACAACAAGCATGACTTTTTCCAAGTGACATAGGACATAACCTAAAAAGTTCAAATGTAAATATCTTTTTTTTTGACGCCTTCTCAGTACAAAATTCTTTGACAGAGTTATTAAGGGACTGACGCTTAACATTTTAAGATATTTTTGGTATATAGACGCTACCATTTCTTCTCAACAAATTTTATGTATGAAAGTCTGCCATTGCTCTTTATGGCTTTAGCGGTAGGGCTATTACTGGCGTAATAGCCCTACCGCTTGGCGATGCCGCCGTCCAACTCCACACATATAATGATCGGGCACATAGAAGTAAACACATTCACGTACCGATGGATTGTTCACGTTATTGGTTAGTAATAAATAATAATGAAATATTTGTGTATATTCTCGTCTCAGCTGTAAAGTATCAAGGCCGACTATCCC